TAACGTCATGTCCAACATAGATAAAAAATGTTTGTCGTAAAGGTGTTCAAAAGATCACTTCGAGTTGGGTGGATTGTTTTCAAGAAACAATTGGTTTTGTTTGGTTATATATATAAAAGCTTTTCACTTTCAAGCTTCACACTTAATCTCGTGCTTTTTATCTTGAATTGATCGACAATACAGAGTCTACAATCTCTTTTCCTCCACGTCTCATTGTCTTTGCATCTCACTATTGCTTATGTCCCGTTGTCCATCTCTCCTCTCTTAGTGACGCATCCATCACTCCTCATTCTCCCCCTTCTACATGTTTCATATTTTGTTGAGTCGTTGCTTGTCGAGCTGTCCTACACATTTAAAGAGAAAATAAATTAACAAATTTGAAAGAGAAAATAAATGAACAAATTTGAAGTGTCTACCCGAACATCAAATTAAAATTTCAAATATGTTTAAAAAAGTATACCCGTCGATCTTATACTGTATACATTTAAAATCTTACCGATTTTATTATTTTGTCCCGTTAATTTAAATGGTTAAAACTATCCATTTTTAAAGATAATTAAAAAGGACTAGATTACCATAATTGAAATTGTCCAAGGTGGTGGTGACAAGACACTTATCGCAAATTTAATCCATTAACCAATGCTTCCACATAATTGTTTATCCATGGTCAACAACTGTATTTATATAATAATAATAATAATAAAAGTTGATTATTAAATAATTAAATGTTTATAAAATTGATAAATTATAAATAAAAAACAACTTCAAAATGTCATCAATTATTTAACTTTTATATACTTATTAAATTTAATTTTGAAATATATTTATACATGTATAACAAATTTCGATATGCAAATTAACCCTCGAATAAAAATTAATTCTCACAAATTTTTAATAAAATATTAATTATAGCATTATTGAAAATTTAAAAATATTTTTAAAATAGAAAGTTTAGAGATATTTATAATAATTTTGCCAAAAATTTAATACATTTTGATAAGGGAATGAAATAAATTAATTAAAAAGTTGAGGTAATGTAATTTTTCGTTATTTACAATTATTTATTTGTCAATAAATATAATTATCTTATAATAATCGTGCAAGCCTTTAATAATGAAATAAATTTAATGTATTTTTATGGGAAGGTTATATTATGGTTTCTCCCTAATCTTATAACGTATTATATAAATAATAATAATTAAAAATAAATAAACACAGGCACTAACAATACGGCAGTCGCGGTAAATGGCCAGAAAAGGATAATCTGATTAATCGCACAGTCAAAACCTCTGGACTTTTGCCAGCCGTCCGATGTGTTCTCTCTCTACAGTTCCCGGTGACATATATATATATATTTATACATACATACCTTTGCTTTACCGCTGTTCTCACATTACAGCCCCGTCTGTCATTTGTTGCTAGAGAGAGAAGCACAGAGACCCAAGAGAAGGCGAGAGCTAGAGGAACTCGTTGTGGAGCCATGGCCGGAGTCAGAGACATCGACGATCTGCCGAAGAACGACGCCAACTACACCGCCTTGACGCCGCTGTGGTTTCTCGAGAGAGCCGCGTTGATTCATCCTTCCAGATTATCGGTCGTCCACGGATCTCGCCGCTACAACTGGCTTCAGACTTACCAACGCTGCCGTCGTTTAGCTTCGGCTATTTCGAACATTTCCATCGGTGCTGGAGACACGGTACTTCTCGTTTCTTTCTATGTTTTTTTTTTCCATTTTTGACGTTTGTTAACTGTCGCTGCGAGAGTGATTCTTATGACTGACCTCACGTTGGCTGTTTTCGGTGAAATATCCGGAATCGGTGAGTGGAAAGTAATTGCAGGATGAATCGGTTTTTTTTTTTTTTTTTTTTTGAAAAAATAAAAGATAAAGAAAATTTACATCAAAAACTGAGAAATAAATAAGAACTAATAAATTGAAGAGAACAAATAGATTTCACCTTACAAAATCCAATGAGATGGGGAGAGGAGATAGGAGACCAATGTTGGAGATACAAGCCTTTTTGTTCAAAAGACTTGAGCATACTTCACTGTTAGAAAATCTTATGTCCTCGGAGAGATCTTTAGTTTACTTTGTAATTATCAATTTTTATTCATAAAATGAATGGATGAAGATACATTACATGTATATAATCCCAAATCTTTACGNACTGCATTAGATTCCAAATATGAATACGTTTCTGGCATAAAGTGATGAAGTGTTTGGTTGGAATTTTAACCTTGTCCTATTTACTCTATGATGTGGAAATCGTGAAGTTTGTAGGCTTGTTTCGGGGTTGAATCTTCTGGTATTTGATGACTCCTAATATTTGATTACTGAACTCTCTGTGTGGCTGTAATCGTGTTAATTATTTTGGAAATTCATCATGAAATTCTTTAGGATTGCGCTACAAATAGTCGATAGCGTTTAATGCATGTTCCTTTGGAGTTCTCATCTTGACTTGCGGAAATTTCAAGAATTCCAATTATGCCTCGCTATTTAGAGAGCAGATTCAATTAAATTACCTTCACATAAACTTCTCTGGCGCAGAATCCCGAGGATTCTGTAATCTGTCTGATATGTTATCCTGGAAGTTCATTAGTTTTAAAGTCTATTTGAAAGGTTAATTGGGCGATTTATTGATTGTAACTGAATGAAAACTGATTGGTGATATTGTATTTAGGTAGCAATAATTGCACCAAATATTCCGGCTATCTATGAAGCTCATTTTGGAGTTCCCATGTCTGGAGCTGTTCTGAACTGTGTTAATATTCGTCTAAATGCACAAACAATTTCATTTCTTCTTGGTCACTCGTCATCTGCAGTTGTTATGGTGGATCAAGAGTTTTTTCCCTTAGCAGAAGAAGCTTTAAAAATCCTAGCTCAAAACGGCCATGGCCATTACAAGCCACCACTTCTAATTGTAATTGGTGATGAAAGCTGTGATCCGGAGGCACTCAAATATGCTTTATCAAAAGGGGCCATTGAATACGAAAAATTCTTGGAAACAGGCAATCCCGAGTATGCTTGGAAATCACCAGAGGATGAGTGGCAGAGCATTACTCTAGGCTATACGTCTGGTACAACTGCAAGTCCTAAAGGGGTGGTTTTGAGCCACCGAGGGGCATATCTCATGTCTTTGAGTGCAGGCTTAGTGTGGGGGATGAATGAGGGAGCTATATATCTTTGGACTCTTCCAATGTTCCATTGCAATGGTTGGTGCTACACTTGGGCACTGGCTGCTCTCTGTGGAACAAGTATATGTCTCCGGCAGGTATTAATAAGATTTTTTTTTTCTGAAGCAATTTATGCTTATTGAATAGTCCTAGTATGATAAATTCAAACGACAATAGATTGAAGATTATTAACGGAAACATTAACAAGGTTTTGAAATTAAAATGGAAGGTTATTTTGAACTCATTCTCATTCATTCAATGGAAACCTGGTGAGTGCCTACGCCTGATGCTGTGATGCAATAAGCTTCCACTTCGAGGTTGCTCATCATTGTTGTGACCCATCATCAGGCGATAAAGCTCTTTCCCCTTGATAAATTAAATGATGGCAAATTTTTGTGCTTTCTAGATGAATATCCCCATAAAAGTGGGTTTCCTGGCTTCTAATTCCTGTAGAACATATTCCATGTTAACATTCTTATTGATAGCAACTTTTTCCTTTTTGATTGTCGGTACAGGTCACAGCCAAGGCAGTTTATTCAGCCATAGCCGAACATAAAGTAACACACTTCTGTGCTGCACCCGTTGTTCTTAATACTATTGTTAATGCTCCTAAAGGAGATACCATCCTTCCCCTTCCTCATGTTGTCCATGTAATGACAGCCGGAGCAGCTCCACCTCCTCCTGTATTATACGCAATGTCACAGAAGGGCTTTCGGATCACTCACACCTATGGCCTATCTGAAACTTATGGTCCTTCAACAGTATGTGCATGGAAGCCAGAGTGGGACTCACTGCCTCCAGAAGCCCAAGCGCGAATGAATGCTCGTCAAGGCGTACGGTACGCTGCATTGGAGGGTCTAGACATCGTGAACACTCAGACAATGCAACCAGTTCCATCTGATGGAAAAACTGTTGGAGAGATTGTAATGCGTGGGAATGCTGTTATGAAAGGGTACTTAAAGAACCCAAAAGCCAACAAAGAGGCATTCGCCAATGGCTGGTTTCACTCAGGTGATCTTGGCGTGAAACATCCAGATGGCTACATAGAAATAAAAGACAGGTCAAAGGATATCATCATTTCTGGAGGTGAGAACATAAGCAGTGTGGAGATAGAGAACATTCTCTACCAGCACCCGGCGATACTGGAGGTGTCTGTCGTCGCTCGAGCAGATAAACGGTGGGGTGAATCTCCTTGTGCTTTCGTGACGTTGAAGTCAAAGGTAGATAAGGGAAACGAGCAGCGAATGGGTGAGGATATAATGAAGTTTTGCAAGTCGAAGATGCCAGCTTATTGGGTTCCAAAATCTGTTGTATTTGGTGAGCTACCAAAAACAGCTACTGGGAAGGTTCAAAAGCATCTGCTGAGAGCCAAAGCCAAGGAGATGGGACCTGTAAAGACCAGCAAGTTGTAATCAGCTTTGCCTCTAAACGTAACTCAGTTTGTTTACACAGATCAGAAGCAAAGTTTATATATATATATATATATATAGTTCTTAGAATGCTTCATTATAAACCAAGCTTTTTAATTCGTCAATAGTTTGTAAATTAAACGGAGTTTGTGCTTGTGACTAACGGATTGAATGTTGACACGTGGGAAAGGAACGTTTTGTGTGGGTTTCTGTTGGATTGACGCCTAACCTTACCCATACGAGGCAGGAACGATACTTGAGTTTGAGTGTGCTTAGGGGAGAGAGAGGGAGAAAGATGAGAAGGAGTAGTGGTAAACGTATCTTTGATATTAATATTCTTATCTTAACCCTTTCACTCTTTAATCTCTCCCTTTCCTCCCTCCTCAAGCTACTTTCTCTCTCTCTCCTTATAAATTGGTGACCTATTTCCATTGGTTCCACACAAAATCCTTCATGAAACCCCTTCTCTCTCTCTCTCTCTTCCTCTCATGTTTTTGAGTAAATTTGCAGAGAAATGGAAGATTTCAATGGTTTAGGGTATGGGGACACCTTCTCTTCACCCCATGATCAACAGGTAACTTTTCCCACTTTTTTACTTTTAACCCTGGGTTAAACAAATATTATTTTCTTTTTAATTTTACAGCCAATGTCCGGGGGGAGTAAGTACGGAGGTTTGGTGCCAAGGAAGAAGCCCTTGATCTCAAAGGTCCATTAACTAACTTAAACTCCTTTTTATTTTATTCATAATTTTAAATTACAATATATAAATAAAATTATGAATTTTGACTGTCTCTAAATTTTTAAACTTTAACATAAAAATTCAATTTATATTTTAAATAAGAGTGAAAAGTGGTGTTTGGATGCAGGATAAGGAAAGAGCGTTCTTTGATTCAGCGGACTGGGCCTTATGCAAGGTGATTCCATAAACCGAATAAGAATAACACATCTTCTTGTGCCCAAACATATTTTCTTATCTCAGGCATAAGAATATGGGCTGGCCCATGTTTCATGAGCCTTGGCCCACTCATATAAAATTAATTAATTAATTAATTTGATGAATTTTTTTATTTTATTTTGTGGGTATTAATATGAAAATTAAAGCAAGGGGCTGGTGGAGGGCATCATGAAACAATGGCAATGGTGGAGACTCTGCGACCCAAATTACAGGTAACCTCGCCTTAAATAATAATAATAATCATAATAAATTTTATTATTAAATTAGCGTAATATGTTAATTAATGGAAATTAATTTTATAATTTGCAGAGAACCCAACGCCAGCAGCTTCCTCCTCGGCGACCCGCTTGCACCTCGGGACAAGACAACCTTGTACCGGTAAAATATATACTAAATTTATTTTATTTTATTTATTTATTCTTATATATTTCCTTTAAATAATTAGAAATATTATTGAATGTTTTATTTTATTTTATATTTTTAATTTAATTTTAGCTTATTGTTTTTGCAGGAAGATTGATATTTATATTTCCATTAAATAATTAAAATGACGTTGGAGCTTACTTCGTTGCCTTTATTTATTTTTATTATTATTATTTTTATTTTTTGCGATTGTCTTTTTCTTCCATGATTAGCTGAAAGGAAATGTGTAAATAAGCAATTTATTTAGTAATTTTATGGGTTTATATTTTCTTGAGAAGCGTTTTTTAAATTATTAATAAATTATGATTTTTTCCACTTTTTTTTTTTTAATAATTTAGAAAGGTAGGAGAATATCGAAGCCATTAAATTTAGATTTCAAATCCCATTTCGTGTGAGATCTCATATCGGTTGAAGAGGGGATCAAAGCGTTTTTTAAAAGGGTGTGAAAACTTCTCCCTAGTTGACGCGTTTTAAAATCATGAGGTTGACAACGTTACATAACGGGTTAAAGCAGACAATATCTGATGAGTTTGAGCTGTTACAAATGGTATCAAAGATAGACATCAGATGGTGTGCCAGTAAAGACGCTAGGCCCTCAAGGGAGGTGGAGAAGCCCAAAAAGGACAACAGTGGGCAGTGTGCCAACGAGGACACTGGGCATCCAGGGATGGATTGTGAGAAGGGAACCAAATATTTCTTATAAGGGCGTGAAAACCTCTTTCTAATAAATGTGTTTTAAAATCTTGAGAGAAAATCCGGGATAGAAAACCCAAAGACAATAATATCTACTAGTTATGGACTTGAGCGGTTATATTATTCTATGACACATTTATATTACTTTTAAAATATCGGGTACAACTATAAAATAAAAAATGAATGAGATGAAATAACCTTCACAAAAAAATTTAAAAAAACAAAAGAACTCGGGAGAGAATCGAATGTAAATCTAGCTTCACGACAATAAACTCAAGTCCATTCAATAAATATAATCTAAGAGTTCAAGAATAACATAAACACGAGATGAACTATCGATCTGTAGGAGGATAGTTAATACTCTCGCCGAAAATAAACTTAATGGAAGTTAATATCCCGACACCGTTAAATTCAACTGAAATTTTTGTCCCTACAAACGTTTGAATCCACAAAACTTGTCTTTAAACCAACTAAATTTTGCGGACTTCGTTTCTGAAATAAATGTAATGTCTTCTCCACATATTAAAGGATGATATTCACAGCTTCGTAACTGGCAAATCTAGCTGGCTCCTTTCTTATGATGTACTATGTTGTCTTTCGACAATGTCTACGTCGATATATTTGAACTATACACGCCAACTAAGTCGGTAACACGTTGTATCGTCGATATATTTGAAGGGTCATGATATGATTAAAAAACAACGTATTATAGTTATTCGTTTCCAATTGCAAACTTTAATCTAAAGTTAACGAGTGTGAAAATTCAAGACCCGAATGCAACTTAACCCAAATTTGTACGTTTTTAGTTTTGGATGCAATCTATGTTGAGTATTTTTGAGATGAACTCTAAGAACAGTGAACTAAAAGAGACAAAGAATCCCGTACTGAAAAAATGAAAAAAATTTGAATTATTCGTTGTATCTGTCGAATATTTTGATAAAATTAAAAGTTTAAAGTTTAAAGTAAAAATTAATATCGAGCGAAGTTTTACCGAGCCATGCATGTGAAACCATTTAATGTTTGAAGGGGGAATATAATAAATGTGGTGCTAGGTAATTTGGCCCCATGTTTATCAATTATTTTCAGACCTTTTACCTGATGGAAAGGCTCGATTTTTTTTTTTTTACTTATTTTAACAAATTTAAAACGTGTTTGTTTGGGAGAAGTTTCCACATTCTATTCTTATAAAGAATGTTTCGTTATCCACTAGAACCGATGTAGAATCTCACAATCCACTCTCTTTGGAGGTTTAGTATCTTTGATGATACACGGTCCAGTGTCTAGTTCCGATACTATTTGTAATAACCTAAACCCATTGTTAACAAATATTGTCCGTTTTGGTCCGTTACATATCGTCGTCAGCCTCACAGTTCTTAAAACGTATACGTTAGGGAGAGATTTTCACACCCTCGTAAAAAATGCTTCGTTCTCCATTTGATAGATTTCACAAATTTTCATCAATTTAATAGGTTAGGTAGAGATGGAGGAAGAAGACATAGGAGCTGCCCTTAGCTCGTTTTATGGAGCACTGCTCATTGATATCAATAAAGTCTTGATGCATTATAATAATCTATTTTGCATAATTTGGCTTTACAACATTTATGGCTTTTATATGGCCATAAATAAATTCTTATAGGGTGTCGATTTTTAGCTCACGATGTGGAATACAAATTAGTCGAAGATAATTGCTTCATCTCAATCGAGCTATACTCAAGTTGACATTCAGAACATTGATTTTAGTCAAACACTGCAGGTTCTCGATAACGTTAAAACTCATATTATATTCGTATATTAAATTAGAAAATGGATATACAAATTTTGATCGAAACCCACGACAATTTTCTTAGAGTTTAGTAATAAATAAAGTGGATATTTAAACTTTCGACATTTTAGTCGAGATTGAGTTATGCTTAAATTGACATTCAAAGTAAAAAAAGCTTTACAAGCCCTTAGCCAAAAGAGTTTTTTAACCTACAACATTTAAAACGATCTTAACAAACGAAGAACTTCTACAGATAGGTAAAATCTTTCGAAGATTTTAACTTACCACAGTAAAAGTAGGATAGAAGTCCCGAATTTCTTTTTTTACGGTATAAAATTGTCAGCTTTCATTTTTCGATTCGATAGTAGTAACTCTCACGTCACAGTCGTGACAATAAATATGGGGTTTTCCCTTCACAGCCAACCCTATAAACTTAGGGAAGCAGCTCCTCAAAGAGTTAAGTCGTTGTTGTGGTCGCCATTGTTGCTCTGATCTTTCTTTTTCTTGAGAGCTATGGGGAGATCTCCTTGCTGTGAAAAAGTGGGGCTCAGAAAGGGAAGGTGGACTGCTGAAGAAGACCACCTCTTGACTAACTATATCCGAGCCAATGGCGAAGGCTCATGGCGATCCTTGCCCAAGAATGCAGGTCAGTTCATTTTTTCACTCGAGTTTCTTAAATATTCTTGTGAGATTTCACATCGATTGGAGAGGGGAATGAAGCATTCCTTACGAGAATGTGAAAACCTCTCCCTAATAGAAGCGTTTTAAAACCGTGAGACCGATGAATATTTAATGGATCAAAACTGACAATATATACTAGCGGTGCAGTTGGACTGTTACAACTCCTTTAATCTATTTCTTTTCTTCCTCACCCTACATATGTATATTTTTTTTTTCCTTAAACTAACTGTGACAGTATATTTAAAAATTTAAGAGTATTATTGAAACTTTTGAAGACAAAATATAAAATTTAAGAATATTTTTATTAATTTAATGAAACAATTAGTTAAAGAGACACTCGAGTAAATGTTTTTTTGGTTGGTTGGTTGGTTGTCATCTTTCCTCTTCAGACATGATTTTGATACATTTGTGATATCACGCTATAGGATTGTTAAGATGCGGAAAGAGTTGCAGACTGAGATGGATTAACTATCTGAGAACAAATTTAAAGAGAGGGAACATTACACCCGAGGAAGAACAAAAGATCGTAAAGCTGCATAATGTTTTAGGCAACAGGTACTCGTTTTGAGTTTAACGGTTTTCGTGTTTTAACTGTTCTAGAAAATGACATAAAATTTTGTTCCAAAATGTAACTGTTTGATCCAAAAAAACCAATATTTGCATAAGTTTTCATGTTTTCTTTCCATTTAAGTGTTGCCCACAAGGATGCAATACTTCCCATCCCTCTTTAAATTTAAAGCCAATTAAGACTAAGGCTGTGGCAGACACCATTATTGACAACCCTCAAGTGTTCCCCTATTTTCACTCAATCTTGTCTCCCAAAATAAATAAATAGGCCCAACGAACTAAAATTAAAATTTTCGAGTATTGTTGTTATGGGTCGATGTTCGGTTTATTAGGGTTTTGAACGAAGTTTGAATTTTTGTATCATGGAGTTTATTTTATTTTAGGTGGTCTGTAATAGCGGGACATTTGCCTGGTCGAACCGACAATGAAATAAAGAATTATTGGAATTCTCATCTAAGTCGAAGAATCTACACTGTGACACGACCATCTGCCACGAAGTCTTCTTCACCGATCACTTGCCTCCTAGGGATCATTCCCGTGCCGAAGCGGAAGCGGGATGTGACGTATGGAAGAAGGGAAGAACAAGGTGGCATAGTGAAAGGAAAAGAAGAGGATGATAAAGAGGATGGCAAGACGTTGGGGAAGGAAGTGGTATTGAGGTCCATAATGGGTGATGGGGATGGGGAGAGTTTGGGACCATATGAGTGGGTTGATGGCGAAATAATGACACTAAATAATGGAATGGTGAAAGCCAGTGGGAATCAATGCATGGATGAAGATCATGGGAATGGGTATTGTTCTTCTACACCCTTTGAAAAGGATCAATGGCTGAATTGGGAGTGGGAAGAATATGGATCCATTCATGAAGGGCGTTTCGAGAAATGGGAGCTCGAGGAAATTTCGTCTTGGTTACGGGAAACGGATCAAATTGATCTTTGAAGATCCAACAAACGATTATCCGTGGTACTTAAGGTGTAAGATATAATTACAGGTTAAAACTACTTTTCGAAAGATTATTGTTCGTGGAATATATTTGTTTGTTTTCTTCTTATAATTTAAGGAACATACAATTCAACGTCATTCTATTTGTTCGTTGGGTTTACCATTATTTGCACTAATTAAGGTTGTTATGGGTTGGGTTGGGTTGGGTTAGGACTGAAGAAATATTCTTCTAGACGATTGCCAATTGAGTGTTATCTGACGCGTTCTTCCGTTTGAGCAACAAAGCCCATCGCACTAGTCTCTGCCTCAACGGATCTCGTGAGCTTAAGGCCCCTCCCCAAGCTTATTTTTCTATTTCTTCAACAAGCATGATCGAATGAGGATGATGGAAAAAGGGTTTTGTCGTCTTTTTTCCGCTTTCACCTTCGATCGCTCGGGACAAGATTGGTAAGCATACATACCTAGTTCAGCCGAGAGAGCAAAGCATAGGGGGAAAAGCTAGCTCGAAATATTTGTATCTCTATATAATAAATTTGATAACCTTTCTAAAAAATTAGGATCCATGGTTTCCCCAAAACACTTCTTTTTAAAAAAAATTAAGCAAAAAAGATCGACAAAGCTTATACTTTAGGAATCATTGGAGAATGTTATAGGTTTTAAGCAACCTTTGGTGGAAGCAATTCTGTGCGTGTTCTTGTGTTCTTTCTCTGTTCTTCAACAACACGGCTCCCATTTTGGTCATCTAAACAAGTGGAAACCGATCAATCATTCATCTCTTAGTAACAAAAACTATGGCTGTCACTCATCAGGATCTTCTTCCATGTCCAAGGAGCTCTCAATTGGGCACCAAAATGGGCACTTTTCTCATGGTTTTGACCATCTTTTGTGGCTTCTGTTGCTTCGTTCTTTGCCTCATTGCTGAGTCCACTCGTTCTCGGGTACTAAATCTCCCGACCCTTTTGACTATTTCTCGTTTTTTGAAACTTTGAATGCTTTAAATGATATGAAAAGACGACCTAGATGTCATCGTGTGCTCTGAGTTCAGTTAAGTTTGTGATAAACATTATGCTAACTCCACTTGCAAAACTTGCCAACCCGTTCGACGATATCTCGTTTTTCGATATGACGTTGTCTACTTTTAACTTTATTTTTGAATGCTTTAAATAATCTCAAAGACATGATGTCGATACCATGATAGTTAAGTTCAAATGATTATTTATGCACAAAATGATTATGTTATGATGACGATAGCGATGTTAGGTAGATAGAAATTTTAGGGTTGTTACAATATGTGTTAAATGTATGTTATCGTGTTTTAAGTCTCGCCGTGAGGATTCCAACTCAACCATATTGTCCTTCGTTATCGTAAACTTTTCGATATATGTTCTACTCGTGACGTTGTTTGCATTCTCGATAATTTATTTTCACAGGTGATATGGATGGATATAGATGAAAATAACAAGGACGGAGAAAAGAGATGCTCGTATAGCGGCAGCGGAAAGACGCCGCTGCTGTGTACGGTGAGCGCGTTTCTCGCGATGGCGGTGATGATGGTGGTGCAGCATTTGTGTGTGTTGATTGCAGTGAGTAAGTCGCCACCGCCTGCTCTCATTGCTTTGGATCCTTCTTTTGCCATTTCCAAATTGCTAACCTTTCAAGCTGCTTTCTTCTTCGTTTCAACATGGTAAGCCCCATTTTTTCCATTTACTCATATGGGTTCTTAGTTTTGTTTCCTAAAGTACTTTTCGAGTTTGATCCCGTGATTTAATATGATATCAAAATCGGAGCTCTGATGTAACAGTCTATACCCACTCCTAGTTGATATTGTTTTCTTTGGGATTCCCCTAAAAGTTTTTAAAACGTGTTTGATAGAGAGGTTTTCACTTTTATAAGGAGTGTTCCGTTCTCCTCCCCATCCAATGTGGGATCTCACAATCTACTCCCTTCACGGCCTAGAGTCCTGACTGTTACTCGTTCATTTCTTCCATCGATATGAGAACCCCACCAAATCCACCCCTTCGGAGCATAGCGTCCTTACTGGCACAGTGCCTCATATCTACCCATTTGAGGAACAACCTCCTCGCTGGCAT